AAGTTTATCTCCAAAGTCATTGCAAGCAGAATTCAAACTGTTATGGGATATCTCATAAGTGAGGCTCAAAGTGTATTTGTTAAAGGGAGACAAATTACAAATAACATCATGTTAGCCCATGAGCTTATAAAGAACTATGGGAGGAAGCATATATCTCCAAGAATCATATTGAATATTGATATAAGAAAGGCTTTTGATACAATCAGTTGGAGTTTTATAAGAGGAATGCTAGTTGGCCTGGGTTTCCCTAATAATATGATTAGATGGATCATGGCTTGTATAACCTCCCCGAAGTATTCCATCTCTCTAAATGGCTCACTCCATAGGTATTTTAAAGGTGAAAGAGGTCTAAAACAAGGTGATCCCTTGTCTCCCTACTTGTTTATTCTTGGCATGGAATATCTCTCAAGAAGCCTCAATCAATTGAAATATGACAGAAGCTTCAAGTTTCATCCTAAATGTGGAAAGCTCAAAATCAGTCACTTGATATTTGCTGATGACCTACTCTTATTTAGCAATGGTGATCCCTATTCAGTTCAGAGAATATATCAATGCATCACCAACTTCAGCGCAACTTTAGGCTTGGAAGCTAACCCAAATAAGTGTTCAATTGTTTATGGGGGGTTGATAACTCAGTAAAGGATTGCATTCATGATCAGTTGGGTTTCTCTGAAGGTACACTACCAATCATATACTTAGGAGTTCCTCTTATATGCAAGAGGCTATCTTATGTTGATTGTAGTCCACTTTTCACAAAAATTTCTAGCCAATTTTAAGTCTAGACAAAACATAGAAACCTATCGTATGCTTTAAGGTTGCAAATTATAAAAAGTGTCATACTAGGAATTCAAATTTACTAGACATCCAGCTATGTCCTTCCAGTAAAAGTTCTCCAAAAGATTGATGAGTTGTGCAGGAGTTTTCTTTGGGGGAAAACTGATCATGTCTTCAAAACACCACTAGTATCATGGGATAAAATCTATCTTGGGAAGAAGTTTGGAGGCTTAGGGATTTTTTTCAGCTGTAATCTGGAACAATGCATCAGCATTAAGAACTCTTTGGTATATTCATATGAACAAAGAGTCTTTGTGGATCAAATGGGTTCATGGGACCTATTTTAAAAATAGGGACATTTGGCAGGTTGTGATGAAAAAGGGAGATTCTTGGATGTGGAAACATCTACTTAAAGTCAGAGATAATGTGTTAATTTCTTGTGGAGGAGTTGAGAACTTGAAACTGATGATCAGTTCTTGCTACAAAGACCTCAAGGTTCATCTATCTGATTTGTATTATCGCCTATGTCCTACAACAATCAAAGTGCACTGGTATGAAACAGTTTGGGAGAAACTCAACTATTCTAAGCATTCTTTTGTGTTGTGGCTTGCAGTCCAGGATAGACTTCTTACACAAGATAAGCTACAAAGGAGAGGAATTATTCAATCCAACAGTTGTTGTTTGTGCTCTGGGGCGGAAGCAGAGGATCGTAATCATCTATTCTTTGGATGCAATTACGCAAAAGAAGTCTGGAATGGGATCATGGAATGGCTCCAATACAATTGGAGAGCATGTGAATGAGGTCTGCTGATAAACTGGTACAGCTGCAGGTTGAAGGGGAAAGGTTTCAAGCAAAAAAAAACAAAAGAATGGCATTTGCTGCTGCAGTGTATTGTATTTGGAGGGAACACAATGAGAGAATCTTCGATCAAAAGAATCATAGTATTGCACATCTGATCAAGAGCATCAAAATGGAGATTTTGACAATCATCCTCAACAACAGCTCCCTATCGGCTGAACACATGGACTAGATTTTAACCCTGTAGGTGGCTGTTCTTGTTTTGGTAGTTTTGTTAGTTTTCTTGATTGTTTTTTACTCACAATAGTGATATAGTTTAGTCTAAAAATGAGTACATTGATGTACATAAACTCTACATTTAGTAAATGAATAAAATTCTTTCATTGATAAAAAAAAATAATATAGAAGTGCATATAAACCTTCGCATTTCAAATTTGCATGCCACCTCAAACGATTCTACAGTCGTAAATAATAGACCAAGCATTGATGTAACTGCCCATCCCTCTCATGCCAAGGCCAAGCCCAGCAGCATCACCAACAAGGTGACGTCATCGCCCATGCAAAAGAGGTCTCTGATTTGACAAGCCCAATCTCGACCGTCCAGTCACTGATGGACGGCCGCCCATTCCCGATGTTCTTCGAGCCTCGTTACGCCAGACGTCTTGAAATGACTGCCACGTTAATCAGGCTCGCTCGCTACACTGATTTCAACCGAATTGAGACCGTAGCCTCAGATTCTTTGGTCTACCCAAATTCAGACCTTCGTCACTCATGCATGGGCTCTAAATATCTCAGCATGAAAGGCTCGATCGATCAACTTCCTTCTAAACTATATTCAAATCTTCTCTTTATACGCTGTTAATTAATTCATCTATACATGTTTACCCCTTAAACTATCTCTTTAAGTCCCTACTATCACTTCTTCTTCTTCTTTTTTATTTATCATTTTTGTATATTTTTAAATGGATTAATGACAGAACTATAGTTTTTGGGATAATTAAGATGGGACTGAGAATAGTTTAGCGGGTTATCAGGAATGACAAATTTAATAGTTCGGAAGGCAAGATAAAATTAAAAATAGATCATGAAGAGACAAATTGAATAGCTTATATAAGGCCAAACTATAAAGGTAGTTAATTCTATTTTTAGACTCTACGAGTGAATTCTTTTTAATCTTTACCGTGAAGGGGTTTATTTATCAAAAATAAATTTTGCTATATCTAAAGGTAAAAGAGTCAATACGTATCACTCAAGGTATATTTATACGCAAAAATAAAAATAGAGGTATAGTAAATTAAAAATCACAGTATAACAGGGTCTATCAGCAATTAACCTAGCTACTAATTATGCACTAATAACATATGACCATTGATATTGATAGGATCTTTTAACACATGTGGCCTAACTAGACCTTAAAGTCCACTTGATTGACTTGGTCTAAACCAGCAACCATATGAGAGCAGCTTTACGTCTCAGTACGTCGTAAACAGATTGAGAACAAAATTAACCTGGAATCTTAAACCACTAGGAATTAATTGATTCAAATTCTCACACATGGAAATTTCTTTGCTCACTTTAACAATATTCTAACCTAATTGACCCTCACAGTCGTGTGTGTGTACGTGTGTATCTGGTCTCTACCCGATTCGGTACGTAGCTGGGTTTTGTTGGGCTCGTACGATCCGTTGTAGTATGTACTCGTGTTGCAACGGTCGATCTTCTGTTGGAACCGGCTAAGGTAGAGTTCTCCGCAGGAAAGGGGAACTAGTTGTGGTTAATGGAGGCTGCGCTTTCGGTTTGTTATGCTTGTTGAGTTATTTGCTCTCGCGGAACTGTTTAAGCAAAGGGAGGCCAATTTCCTTTTATATTTATGTAAAGATTTTAGTCATAAGTAACGCTGGTAGAATGAATGTCCCTTCGAAAAATAATTTCAGAAATATAACTAAAAAGACATTCTGTGTTATGAAATTGAATATTAATTTGTTCCATTCATGTCTACCACGCCCGGGGCTCACAAGCTTGCTGACGCGACGCAAGTCTTAAGATCCACTGAGTGGAACACGTGGTTTGGCTCGATCCGTTTTTATTACGTCTTGATCGCGGCATGATAATTAGCACATCCCAGTGTCATCGCTAGGAGATGTGGACTCATTTTATTACAAAATTAATTGTTCATTTTCTGTTGATATACAAGTCAAAGTTATAAAATACATGAATTTTTGTTTGAGAAAACTTTAATGATAATAGATTGATACAAAACGAAATGGTTTTTTCTTTTCTCTTTTTTTTTCAAGTTATGTAGTTTTGTAAGTAAATACATCTAGGCTCTAGCTTAGTAACGTCTAAGTGTCTCTTTTTATTGTGATTTCCCTCGTACGTCCTACATACGTGCCATGTAAATTAGTATTTTATGGGATGAATGAGGATAGTCTAGTTAGTTTGAATCTATTAGGACTGAATTTTCATGGTTCGGTCGGGTTTTAGAATATGTTTTGACCTGACTCGGTTTGAGAAAATTTCAATCCGGATAAACCGTACAGTCTGCTCCATCCATTTTCTAACACACTCTTTTTTCATTATTCCATAAATTTCTTTCTTGTATTTCCTTAAAATTTTTATTGTTTTAATTAACTTGTATCTCGTTCTTTTATCATGAACCTTTAGCCTACATTTTTTTTTCCACCGATTTCTTAAAATGCATATCTTTTTAGGTCGAAATAAACCTTTTTCTTCATTAAACTAGCCTGAGCCAAAACTAGAGTAGACCGAACCAAACCGACCAAACAAATTTTGATTGGTTTGCATTCAGCTTCCAATATAGAGCAACTAGGTTCGATTACGCCAAATGTATAAAAACTGATCCAACTGACTATTTGTTCACCCCTACTTGGTTACGTTGACTACTTGAAGTGGATATTTCAAACCAGTTAAATTCCATGAGAGTAGAACAAAAAAAAAAAATGCACTCGATCTAATAGGCATCTACCTTCTTAGTTTGAACTCTCATTGGCACTCCCATCCTATTACAATATCTTTCCACCATATCCGAAATATAAACTTATAGTGCGATAAAAAGGATGGTTGATTTATTATCGTGCGAAACTATCATTTTACCCTCGATCGCATTTCATTTGTTCTACTAAATCATAAATTACATGTCATGGTACACACACACACAAACTGACTTTATATGAACAACAAAACTTTTCCGAGTTGTTTGTTAAAAAAACAAATATAAACAAATAAAATAAAATAAAATAAAATAAAGTAATTAGCAGCTAATTCATGTAATTTTAGAATCTTGTAGGGTCTATCTACAAATTGACAAGCTGAGACATATATGCAAAAACGACCATTCCACCATTTAAGCAAAAAAGATGAGATCCTGAGGGACAACAGAAGGAGAGTCCTCATTAAAAAGGAAACGCAAGAAGCTAAGCTATAGCTGCCAGTCTCTCTCCCCCTCTCTCTCTTTCTCTCTCATGCGCTAAAACTTTGCTTTTTTGTTTTTTTTTCCCTCTTCGATCTCCTCGAAATTCTCACAATTTCTCATGAAAACAATGGAGCCCATCAACTCAAAGACTCAGATCTTGAAGTAATCTGACTTCATTTTTAGATTTCTCCTAGGTTTTATCTTCGGTGAGCAACTTCAATGTGATCCTCAGTTGTTTTCTTCGAATTTTGATAACTTTTCCGCTGTTTTTTTGGTTGAGTTTAGTTCAGCTGAAGTGACTCGAGATTTTATTTCCTTTTATGAATATTTTGATATTTTTTCAAGAAAATTCTCTTGACACACTCAAACTAATTTTAGGTCTAACTTCCATAAAATATTTTTTCATGCATGAATTTCTCAGTGTTGCAGACTGATTAGCCTCTTAACCTAGAATCGAAAGATGAAAGATCGACGAAGCAAGGGTACAATTAAAAAGCTCACAATTACTATGAATGAGCTCCATTTACTTCCAATTTGAATGAAATTTTCGTATTCTAATAAATGAAGGATTTTTTTAAATTTTTTTAAATTTATACTTTTATGTCTTTGTAGAGCTTTTCTCAAGAAATTTCTTTTTATTTAAATTAATTTTAGATTTCAGTTCTATGTAATGATTTCATGTATTAATCATCTGAACGTTTCGATCTGATTAATTTCTGTAAACTAGACTCAAAAAATGGAAGAAAAAAGAAAGAGTTAAATTTAGAAGTTCACTTTTTTTCTCTTTACAAAGAAATATTAATTTTCTTTTCTTATTGATTTGCAAATTTTGTTGATATGATGAATGTACTAGTAAACTCTCATCAAGGTTACTATGAATGCCATAATTTGCAATATGTTGGAAGTTTATGTATTATGAGAAAATTAATTGATAAATAGTTTATAACAGTTTTCCATTTTCATGATCTATTTAATTTCATTTCATTGAAATCTGATCACCTTTGATATGCCTTGCTATTTAGTCTAATTCATAGGAGAAATTTTGGGAGATCAGATATACATTATTAGCTAGAGATTAATTTGTTAGAAAGAATCTAACTAGCTAGATGTTGATCAACTTATATTTGAAGTTACTAATCTCAAATAATTACGCATACATAACATATCAGATGACTGATCAAGATCAGGAGCTAATGATTGATATTATTGGGCTTGTTTATATCAAACTAACTATAATAAAATAACCCCTAACTGTCATTTTATCAGCTCAAGATCAGTGTAGCGAGAACCAAAAATGGGAAGGGGAAAGATTGAGATCAAGAGGATTGAGAACACAACGAATCGCCAAGTGACTTTCTGCAAGAGGAGGAATGGACTCTTGAAGAAAGCTTATGAGCTCTCTGTGCTTTGCGATGCAGAGGTTGCACTTATCGTCTTTTCCAGCCGTGGCCGCCTCTATGAATACTCAAACAACAGGTAATATCAGGTCAAGATATCACATTTTTTATGGTAATTATCAATTGTTTTGCATCATGTTAATTATTTGTTCATACTAATTTCCAATTTATAATAAGAATATTTGTGACATTATAGTTAATAGTTTTCACTTGCTAACTAAGAGGCATGTATATTTAGAATATTACTATTAATTTATGGGTCTTTCTCTTGGATCTTGTTAAGTTTACTAGCAATGAAAAAGTTTGGCACCTTTTTCTATTTTGAGGAGAAGGGACAAGAGGCAGAAGTTTAAAGCTAGGGTTCTTGCTATCTAGCTTTGTGACTTGGAGGTTCATCCTATTTTTCACTAATTTCAATATATTATTGGCAATTTCTGAAGTAGAAAACATGCATTGGAGTGATCTGCTGTTGTTCATGTTTGTTTCTTTTAGTATGGAAAAGGATTTTTGTTTCTGTTCCCGTTTTCTCTCTTAACTTTGTTGTCCAGCTTCTTCACTTATCATTTGCCTATTTTGGTCTTTAGAATTTGTTGTCATGTGATGGATTCATTTTTATGCGGTCGGTTAAACAATTTTACTTCCTATACAAATTGAAATTGTATATGAAATAAATATAGAGTTCAGGCAATAATTCCATGTGCAGAATCTTGAGCAAACAGCCAGTTAGAAGTCAGTGGAAACCCTAGAAAACCTATTATATCTTTGGCATAAAGCCTATTTACAAGATATACTTGTGATTAGGGTTTGTTCTTCTCTTTGCTCCCATTTTGCCTTTTCTTCTCTGGTGCAAGAGATGGTAACCTCTCTCTCTCTCCCCCCTCTCTCTGTGTGTCTGTAAGTGTGCTTAGGGTTCGTTTCTTCTCATGTGTGCCAATAAACATTGGACTTGCAACTTCCTACGCCCCCCCCCCCCACCTGTCCCCCCGCTCTCTCTCTCTCTCTCTCTCTATGCCTCTCTCAGTGTGAAGCAATACTTTGTTTTCTAATCTTAGAAATTTGAATGTGTGCAAAAGGTATGTATGTATATATATATATATATTTATAATATATATATAAATATATTATATTATATATATATATATATATATTATAATCAGTAACTGATTCAATTTTGAACTGATTATATGCTACATACATACAATAAATATATCCAAAGATAGGTATTCAATTGATCCATATAGATCCACTCAAATCATTTACAGCTACAAAATTGGTCTGCCCACTTTCTTTGTCCTTTCCAATCATAATCCCCTCAACTGAAAAGCCACTTTCAAAGATCTCGCTGCCAAAATCCTTCACAGTTTATTCCTTTTTTTTTTGGACTTAAATAAAAACTGTTCAGTTTTTTTCTTTTTCTTGATTTGGTCTTTCCCCATATCTAACATAAGAAGGGAACTGTGGCCCTTCAATCAGTTTTCTGTTGGGTTTCTCTTCTTGTGCTTGGGCTAGGCCCGGACCCCCCCACCCACCCCCTAAAAAAAACTCAGTCATCAACCCCACCAATTTCAAAGTAATCATCATATCTGTGAACAGTACTTGTCCAATGACTGTCCAGAGAGAATAGCTAGAGGTAGAGAGAGGATGATCAAGTTTCTATATTTCCTTTGCCATGGGATCTTTATTGGAATTTGAGCCCATTCACGTCATTTCTGCTCTCTATTTGAGCAATGGCCATTCATCAGCTTTTACTTTTGTCCATCCCAGGTTGTGCCCTATCCTTTGACAAAACCTTAAATTCTTCAGCGTAATCATTCATGTTGAAATCAAAGAAAACATAGAAGATTTTTTTTTGTATTTTTCATTGTTTACAAAGAGGAGACTAATACCTCATACACACAAACACGTTATAGAACATTTATGATGAATCCTATAAAGAAAAAAATCTTAATATGAAAAACAACGAAGGGAGATTGTAAGTAAAAAAAGAAAGGCATATCTTACATCCCTCTCATATTCATAGCAGATTTACCTCCAGAAGTTTGAATTAAAGTAGAAAAATTAAAAAAATTCTGTAGCAATAACTAAAGATTCCAAGCATGTGGGACATACAACGTACAAAGAATAATCGAGAACTGAGTAAGATCCTCTCACTACATTAAAACCCCGAAGTTATAATG